TAACTGAAAAACAGCAAAATGCGTTATTCTTACATTAATACTTATTTTATTAGTTGCATAAAAGACGAACCTTTATTGTCGCTCTTGTTTTCGCTTTTAGCCCGTGCAAAACCATGGTCCGCACAAGACTTGAAGTTCTAGCGTCAATCATTTCACTTTGATTTTTGAGATCATCGATTTCGTCTTTTTGATCTAAAATTTTTCGAGTTCTGACGGTTTAACCCTCCCTCACATTTTTCTAACTCCCGCATAAGCTGGTAAATTTTCTTCTCATTGGTACAATTAATTTCAACCTCGCAATTTAACTCCTCCCGTAATTCTATATTAGTTTGCGAATTCCGGATCTAGAAGAAAAGCTTTCTGCCCCACAGACCGATTATTGTTTTCCATTGTATATTGCAAAAAACGTAAAATGTTCTTGGCATTATAAATTTCTATATGCGGAGCAGTAGGTTGGTAAAACAACATAAATCTATTTCCTCATCAGGATTTATGTATATAGTGGGAATACTCATTTTTTAACGCAATAAATTAAGATAAATAATATACTATATAAACCATCCCAGGGTTGGCTATCACTCTAATCCTCGGAGATTATGGAAGGGAAGGATTTTAATTTCCATTCGAGAAAAGTGCGTGATTAGTCATAAACCAGAATGAATGGCAAAAATATTCTCCGTCACCAAAAGATATTCCAAGAGTCAGTTATGGTAAAATTTCGCGTCCAAACTGTGTGCACCAGTGTGATCTTTTACGCCTTACCAATGACAAAGTACATAAAAAAGTATTTAAATGGGTACTTACTATCATAGACGTTGCTAGTAGATTTAAATATGCCATTCCTCTAACTTCAAAAACAGTTCAGAAGTAGCCAAGGCATTTAGAAAAGTCTATGATGACCAAAATGTTCCTCTTACCCGGCCTAAGCTATTACAATGCGACGGAAGCAGAGAATTTATGGGCGAAACTTCCAGATTATTGCAAGATCATAATGCTATAATTCGAGTAATTGGCCCCTATAGTCATCGAGGACTAGAATTGTTAGAACGATTTAATAAGACACATGCGCAAATTTTATATAAAATCCAATATGCATTGAATCTCTATCTTCGAATCCTAAATTAATAAGAGCATGGGTTAGATACTTACCCAAAGTACTCGATTATTTAAATAATTATCCAACACGTCTCATTAGAGCTCCGGGATCATCGCGGTGGGGCTTAGCTCCAGCAATAGCCATAACATTAGAAAGAGTCCATCCACAAAATATAAGCGGTCCGGTTGGAAATAATGAAACAAAGTTAAATAAAGGCGACACAGTTCGATATTTACTCGCTAATGCCGAATGGGAAGGTGGCATGGAAAATCAGAAACGTGCAACTGATCCAATATGGACTCCGACATTTACAATTCGAAAAATCGTTGTCTCTGAAAAAGAAACGGTTTTATATTATTTAGACGGAGAATATGCTCCATCGCGTGGATTGTTAGAGAAGAGCTCATGCATGTCGACCCAGATAAAATCCAATATCCTCCTCAACGTATAACCGGCCTAATCGATTAGTTCATACAACACGAGTTTCCGGGAAATTATCAAATGTTTAATGGGAAAAAAAAGGCTGTGGTACCACTGGAACACGCTATATAAAAAACGACGACCTGATTTAATTGGACATCATCTTAAAGAACCCAAGTATAAACATTTGAGGGATTGCTACCAAATTATTGCAAATAGTCCAAAGCCATATCGCGAAAATGTTACATGAAGCCTGACAAAATACGAATTTTTTCCTGAAAGAGAGACGATGGTTATATTCGAAGATTTATGCAGTGAGCCTAAAAAGATACAGGGAAAATCACCCCTTACTTCACTGAGGGACGCCACTCCAACATAAGTTCAATCTACGTAACTCAAAGTTTTTTCGATTGTCCGAAATTAATAAGAAAAATTTTAGATTATATTGTGCTCTTTAACGGAGCGGGCACATACGATGAACATTTGCAGCAATCACAGCTTGAATACGGTTGGGCATTGGTTGATATTGCTAGGCGGTATACAAAAAAAATGGCGTAATGCCGTCGAAAAAATTACAAGGTCGGCAGTTCATTGTAATTGACTTGACTAGAGCAAAAAAGGATCCTCTCTATATTCGTTTGGGTTGGGACATGCTTTGAATAGAATGAGATTTCACGCGCTAAGTAGGTATGTTACTAATCTGAAGTGGTACCACAGCGCATTTCTGAGCCGCAATGTAAGGCGAGTTTCTGAGCATTGAATCCATCAGGGCGGTAAATCCCATTTTTTATACACGCTTGAATCTTTTTACCAATTTCCCTTGCACGTTTAATCATTTTATGCTCTGACCTATTCGTATTTTTGTCGTACGACAGACCTACCGCATCAACGTATACTTTATGAATATGATTCAATTTTAGTTTATCCATATGTAGAAAATCACATGATACAAAAAGGGACCAACTTTATTACTAGATCGAAAAATACATAGAATAAATGTAGTAGAAAACGAAAATCTAATTGTCATATGGAGGAGATGATGCTGTTGAACTATCTTCTTTATCTCCATGTAAACCACTATCCGCATTTAATAATAAAGATAGGTTAAAAAGAGAAAGTTAGACTCCATATATAGAAAGCACATTCCATACCCGTAATAGCAACAACGTCTCTACAAAATTATATACATTATCTCTATCTGTGAATTGTATCGGGATATCAACCGAACGTAATTATCTATCTCATCTTCATCCCGAATAAGAACGTATAGGTGAAGCTTTTGTCCAGCAACTTGTATCCCGACAATTCCAAACTCGTCTTTTTGTGGCTTGCAACCTTTATGCACCCAACTCCGCAAGCCAATGCCACGAGACAGCTCTTGCAATGATGATGCAAACATAATCACACCATACTCCAATTTCTGTAATCTGGTCAAAAAACTATCTCCATCAGAGCTTAAAATGGCTATAGTATATAGTAATAGGAGCATTAAAAATGGCACGGGATTGTTATAGTCTAATCAGACTATAATTATCCCAAATATCTGTCTCAATATACAGTCAACCAATGTGCTGTCCTCGCCTTTTTTGCGAGGTTGTTGCTTATTATTGGCCAATTCATAAATTCAATGTATAATAATTTATTCCACAAATGTTTTAATAAAAATATGACTCTACAAAGAACACTGTTATTTAGAACAAAGACAAACAATACGAAGCCTACTAAACTCCACCAAACTATGTTATCATCATGAAGGTCACAATGTATACTATTAGTTATCCAAATCTATTTGAGAGGGTCGTGGCTTTTTGGCATATCTTTTACATATCTCATGCTTCTGAGCAAAAGACAGAGTTTGCCCCTTAAAGCTTTATATTTATTGACCTACGTTTTCGCTTGCGAGATTGCATTCTTGAAAATTTTATTATATTACGATGTACGTATTAGTATATAAAGGGTAGTAAATTTTTTGCGATTTCATTGGTTGACCAATGAAATTGTAAGAATCAGGTCACGTTCTATTCCGATATCGGTTTATCGAGGCTCAATCTATTATATTATAATCAAGTGCAATGTTAAAAGACTTTTCTTGTGGGGTTTGTTATTCCTACTAACCCTGACGCGTATTACACATCTCCACATCTTTATTTATGAGATCGCACTTGACGTGAGTGTCTGAGGTAACAAGGATACGATAACGCGAACATTTAACATAAAAGCAACCAAGTAAAATCTTTTCCAGGTTGGGCGAAAAGTTTCAACGTCTTAGCGAATATGAAACTGTTTAATGACGGTCCGTGTATTAAGTTACGTTAAGCTGATTAATGCATCATTGTAAATAACGTCAATGGCTATCTCCAGGTACGGGTTTATCACTTCAGGGAGCACGGATCAAGTGTAATTGACGTAAATACAAATTGGGTGCCAACTAATGTGACTATCGTGGATGGTTAATAGAAAGGAGATAACGGAGAGAAAATTAAACGCGTAGGGTCGTCAATTATGCGAGAAGATTCTAGTTGCTTTGGGAAAGCGAACGAAAGATGCAGGTATACGAGGCTAGGGGAGGTAGCTGATGAGAGCACTGCAAGTTGAATATCAACGAGAGCATTTCTGTATGACAAAATGCATTGCAAATTCGCACAATCCCAGTGGATGTTTTGGTTTTTTATTAAGGACAATACAAAGCGTAGATTTCTTTCCATAGTTACGATGCGGGTTTGCGAGAACGAATTGCGCAATCTCGGACTATAAGTTTATAAATTCTAACTCTAGTTTGTCTTGTTTCCAATTGCTATAGTTTATACACGGTGTCCATTGCCAGTTTAACGTTTGCACAAGCACACATCAAACAAAAATACAAGCAATAATACAAGCGTCACTGTATTAATAATTCAAAATTTAAGAACGCCATTTTGTTCTTCTTGATAACTGTTAACAAATTATTTTTAAAAATTGACAAATGGTACAAGGGAGGGGGACAAAAGTATTGCACACTTTTATATTTATGATATTGAAAAAAATTTTATATGTAATAAAAAAACTAACTTTTGTGCCATCGACTGTACCATTTGCCTAAATGGAATGTTTATTTTGATTTAGAAAAAATTTAATAAAAACCCCCTATTTTTTACCTTGGCGCATAAATGATTTTTGACAAAGTTCTCAAAAAGGCGATATAATTGCAACAAAAAAACGATGCAACAGTCGCAAAAATGATAGAATGCTATCGCACAACAATTTAACGGTTTTTTGCAGCCTAATCAGGAAAATTTCCGCAAAAACGATCAGGTCGACCGCGCATTCTCTCAATCACGGGATCGACAAAAATGAAAACCGCTGTTACTGCCGAACAAAAAACACGACGACAAAATCTGAGAAATTACTAAAGCAATTTTGTTAAAAACCAACGAATTTCCAAAAGAACAGTTCACCGTGCACTTTATGAAGAAAATTTACCTTGCCATAGAGTTTATTCCTCGAAAACCCTAGCTAGCCGCATTTGAACGCTAACTTGCAATGCTAAATGCTCCAGTATGCGCACCTAATAAGTTCTTTTCATGCAGCATGATTTGAGACCGTGAATCCCGTCTTACAGTAATTGTTTTGCGTCTAAAAATCTTATAGTCCTGTCTCAGATTTAAGGTTTAAAAGTGACTGTGCGAGGTAATACAATAATTGTTGAAGAATGACTCTCTCTCCGTGAAAAAGTTTTTATTCAAAACCATGTCGTTAATTAAGGACATTCAACATCCAGTAATTGACAACTTGATCGCAACTAGTAAAAAGCCTCTTGAA